ATGCATGCATTACGAAGGGGAACAAGTGGAGAACAAAGTTGCCATAGGCCAATAAGTCCATAAGCATAATAAATCAATAATATATTCAATATAATTTCATAAGTGAAATTTGAGATTAGTATATAATGAAAATGTTTTCGACACTCTCAACTTAAGAAAAGAATAATTCAAAACATTCATGACAAATATTATTTTAAAAAAGTCTCTTAAACAGTAATCATTAACAAAATAATAAACAAAGAAATTAATGTTTTATTATTCTAGCTCTTTGAGTAGCTCTTTTTTTCCGAAGAAAACTTTTGTAGTGCATATTTGTGTTTTTAATGTTGGAAAGCAGACCAATAATGACTAAGAATAACCTTATTTCTATTTACACAACTATTTTAAAATTACTTTATGAAACTTTTTATTTTTTATTTTTTATTTTTTTGGCATTTAGCTTGACTATTTGATGTGATGTTCTTGATAGAGCAACGTATATAGATTTTCAATAATTTAGCTACAAAATATATAGATGCAATTTTCGTTTGATATATATTATGAAATGCATCTTTCTCATTTATCTGAGCTACGCATCATTGATTTATTGTCACGACCCAACCCATCGGGCCGTGCGGGTACCTACATACTAACACCAAAGTAAGAGAACCCTCATATCCCAATAGTCAAGACATACGGAAAATTAAGAAAACAGATGAATAAAAGAAAAACATGTAATATCTTTATAAAACAAGATCTTTAAAACGACTCCGAGTTAAGACTTGTAAAGCAATTAACACACCAGTGATCTAGTCTAAACAGGTACAAGAGCCACTAAGAGTACAAGCAGGACATAATAATGAAAAGACACAGCTCCCACCATGCGAAAGGAAAAATAGAAGCTGTTAGAGAATTTCTTCGTCTTCACCTAATGAAACATCGCCGACCCTGCTTCCAGACTATGCCCAAAGGCATAGCAAGAGTAGTATCAGTACAAAACCACATGTACTGGTAGGCATCATCGGTCAACCCGACGCCCACCGCATGATATAAGAATTCAACTAGCAAGAACATGCAATAAAGCCACTCGCTTCTCCACCTTTACCCTTCCCCGAATACCTCAGAATCACATTAGCACCCTTAGTCCTTACTACTAACTCCCGACTCAGTCAACCTACTTACTAGGTTCTTGATCATAGACTAACCATTCTAACTCATAGAAGAGTCCACCATTACAACTACCAACATTCCCCTGAACGACTAACCACACACAACGTACCCTTGCCTTCTCTTCATCTTACCCAGTCCTTGCCACATGACACCTTTTATCAAGGCTTCCCAACTACTAACCACGAAGTCCTTTCTTCCACGGTGAGATCTACCTAAGTATTTTCATCACGTACAATACCCCAATTTCTCACCCTTGCAACACGCGGACAACCTTTTCTCTCAATATTACAACCCTGAACCCTTGGCCCTTCTACATACCGTATCACTTTCCGATTTAGGCATGCCCTTCCCGGTTCATTCATCAACGAGATACATAACAAGTTAAATCAACATAGTAGAACAAATAAATATAGGTCATCATAACCTTTTAACCCTTCAGGAGCAATACAATATCAATATCATTTACGAATAACGTTCAATTTCACAGTTCTCAATTTACACAGTTATATCCAGTCAATGGTCCTCTCATGGAACTCACACCCAAACTATTAGTGTACCAATACGTGGTATTCGTTCCAAGTTAGTGTGTCGGATCGTGACACCAGTTCCAATATTTATGTCGGTACGTGGCAACCAATCCAGTTGTTTATGCCGGTATGTGGCAACCGATCCCAATTAGTGTGTCGGAACGCAACACCCGATCCATTCAATAAACCGCATGCACAATCACAAGTATATTCTCATAGCCATACAATCAAGTCATGATTCATGACATTCAATCATTCAACTATCCCCATTTACGATTTGAGTGATCAATAATGCAACATTCGCATACATACATGCATCATAATGAAGCAAGGACAAACATATATCACACAATATGAAATCACAACCATCACCTACCTCTAGTTTCATCGTCTAAGGCTTTTTCCAACCATTAAGTCATTTTTTACTCAGTGCATGAAGGCCTACGCATAATTCATATCATTGATTAACATTATACTACGCAGTGAGCACAAATTTATAACTACTCAATTAATAAATCTAGCCTATCTGGGCACCAAGCTGCTGCACGGAAATTATAGCTTCAATTCGAATTTCCGGGCGATAAGGCGGTGAATGTGGCCAAGAATCTGCAAGTCATCGATCTCCTTACGCTAGAACTCTCCTCCTCCTTCTTTCCCAAGCCTAGAAGAGCTTTTGGAGGGTTTTTGACGTGAATCACGTCTAAATTAGGTGTTTTTGGAAGAAGGAGAAAATAAAGTTTCACTTATTTATATTCTTCCTAGCCCATCCCGCTCTGGCGGCTACTTACCCCGTTGTGGCGATGCCGCTGGCATATGGCCCGCCCTGGCGGGACAGTGGCCCCAACATTTTCTTGAAGTTTCGTTTTTTCTAAATAACGACGGTTCGGATCGTTACATTTATAGATTCTGTGAACCGATGCATGCTATATTATTTAGGAAAAATGAATTGTAGATATATTGATCATTAAAAGAAATAATCATCATAAAAATTACGTTTTCTTTATAGAATTTGATTGAAGGTCTAATTTTGAAGAACTCAAATAATCAAAAGATAAAAAACGTGAATAAATGAATTCCCTACAAATTAATTAAAGAGAAACATTACAATATAATTTACACAACATTATTTTTATGGTACTCCTTTTCAAAGATTAATTGGATATCTATCTTTCATCTTTATGGTTTACCCTACTTCTATCTAATGTCTTATTCTATAACTTTTTAAATTGATCCCCACCAATTAAAAAAAGATTCCAAGTGCTCATTTTTCTCTTCTTTTTTTTCTTTCTTTTTCTTTTGATAGGGGAGGATGTTGTCATGATAATTGCTATAATTTCCAAAAAAAAAACTTCAAAACACTGATCATGGTGTAAAAGATCTTTTATATCAAGCTTAATAGAAAAGGCTAGTTATATGCCATTGTGAGTCAACTTGATCTACAACAACATATTCAGTGAAATCCCACAAGTAAAGTTTAGAAAGGATAGCGTATACGCAGGTCTTATCACTATCTCGTGGGGATCAAGAAGTTGTTTCGGCATACCTTCAACTCTAGCTTGACCTAATAGCATTAAAAAAATTACACTTGTAATGCAGGTACATGACATAAACTCTTTCAGAAATGTACATAAGAATATAATGGCATATTCCAACACATTAAAATATTCTAAACTTGTTTTTTTATATATATATAAAATCTTGTTTGGTAGTCAATTCAACCTATTTCATATGATTTTCCGATATGTTATATTAAGTTGAAAAGTTTCCAAGTATTGAGGGGAAAAACAAGAATTTATTGGCATCATATGCTAATTCTTATTCGAATTAATATCTTATCATATGTTCCCTTCTTTTCTTTTTTTATGTGTCCATGTATTAATTAAATTAGCAAACACTTAAGAGTACATTTTCGAGAAAAAGGACTTATTATATTTGACCATTTTTATCTCTTTCTTAAATTTTCCTGTAGTAAATTTATAAATGGAGAATAGAATTCAAACCTTGTAAGAAAAGAACTTATATCTTAATAATGGATTATGTATAATTTGGGAGAAGTTAAACAGAAATGTGGACATTACAATTAAAGTCACAAGTGTAATTTAACGTGTACCAATAGAATATACTACCAGTTGATATTTTTAAACTTATCAAGATTAAAGATATATAATATTTCAAACTTAAGATTTTGAGTTTATGAGTTTCAGATTCTATTTATAAAAAAAAATTACTAGCTTTTTGATAGATCATTTATACAAAATTATATCAACATCAAAATTATTGAGTTCGGTCGAATCTGTAATCAAAATACTAGCTTTTCATACTTGTCCTTTGAGCAACACAATTATTTTTTCATAAAGATTTTTAAGCTATGCTTTATCTTCCTTCAATCAGCATCTTTCTAACATATAATTGATTTGCTTTTGCATTCTCATCTCCCACTAAATAAGCAGTGGAGAGTGTTACGAGGGACCGCCTAGGCCATGTATATATTAACATAATAATACATTTTAAAAAATACTCAGACTGAAATTAATATGAACCTACCAAATTCTTTTTCAATCTAATTTAAGTTATATATACTAATAATGTACATGATTTTTAATTATTAATGCAAATAAACCAACTATAATAGGTAATTGTTCAACTTTTTAGTTTATTATATTAGACTTGTATCGAGGAGATATTAAATAGGACATGACACAACTTAATATTATTGAGGACGTGATCTTAGATAGAAGATTATAGAGGATACATATAAAGATAGAAGGTTAGTAAGTAGTTGAGTCTTGTCTCACTTCTCTTAAGTAATCATGGTATTACTCTTGTAATTTGTTATTTCTTCGATTTATGTTATACTACTTTCTATTATTCCGTATACTTCTGTAGTCATATTGTTTTGTTGTAGTTGTTATTCTTTTTTTTTTCCTTCAAAATGCTTTGTCATACCTTTTTTTTTTAAAATGCTTTGTATACCTTTTTAAAAAAAAAATACTTTGTCATACCTTGTATAGTATCGGAAATAACTTCTCTAGGTCTGCGTACATATTATCTTTCTCAGACTCCACTTATGAAATTATATTGTTGTTACGGAGAACGTGATGGTATAAAAAATGAATTTAACTTGTAACGAATACACAAAACTTAAAACTCCTCACCGATTGGCTTTTTTACCTAATTGGCCGTTACAAAAAGGGCCATTCTTTTTGTGTCATCTTTTAGAAAAAATACAAAACCTTCACGATACTAATCATACCCCTCATGCACATTATCAAATTGAGTCATCAATTTTTATTTTATTATAAGATTAGAAGAAACTGAAACAAAGAGATCATTAAACTATCTTTGCCAATAACACAAAAAATATGCCATCTTCACCACCAAATGTGTCACAAAAATGGCCAAAATATTCAATCCTAATGCAAAATACCCTTTCAGAGCTAAAATTGCAAAGAGGAATATTACTTCCTTTGATTGCTATGAACTTCACATGGTTTGCAAAAACAGCCATTACAACTGCATTTCTTGGTAGGCTTGGAGATCTTTATTTAGCTGGAGGTACACTTGGTTTTACATTTGCAAATGTAACCGGTTTTTCGGTCTTGAATGGCCTTTGTGGTGCCATGGAACCAATTTGTGGTCAAGCTTTTGGGGCTAAAAATTATAAACTTCTTCATAAGACACTTGTTATGACCACTTTGTTTTTACTGTTAATAAGTTTGCCTATTTCTTTCTTATGGCTAAATGTTGATAAGATCCTAATTCACTTTGGCCAACAAGAAGATATTTCAATTGTAGCCAAAAGTTATCTAATTTACCTCCTCCCTGATTTGGTTGTTACCTCTTTTTTATGCCCTTTAAAGGCTTATTTAAGTACACAAAATGTTACAATACCAATTATGTTAAGCTCAATTTTAGCAGTTGCTTGTCATGTACCAATAACTATGTTGCTATCAAGAAGTAAAGGGATAATAGGAGTTTCAATGTCAAATTGGATAACAAACTTCTTGATTATGTTTTTGTTGGCTATTTATGTTGTGATCGCGGAGAATAGGAAAGGAGGGAAATGGAAAGAAGGAGGATGGTTGGAACAAGGATATCGCGATTGGATCAGATTGCTTAAGTTATGTGGACCATGTTGTCTTACTACATGTCTTGAATGGTGGTGTTATGAAATTTTGGTTTTGTTAACAGGGCACTTACCAAATGCTAAACAAGCTATTGGTGTTATAGCCATTGTGTTGAACTTCGATTATTTGCTTTTCTCTGTTATGCTTTCGTTATCAACTTGTGCATCCATTCGTGTGTCTAATGAGCTTGGTGCAGATAGTCCTGGCCTTGCTTATCGTGCAGCCTATGTATCGTTAGCTATGAGCATTGTCTCGGGTTTTCTTGGTGGCTCTGTTATGGCAGGGGCAAGGGGTATTTGGGGGCCATTGTTTAGCCATGATAAAGGGATAATAAGTGGTGTTAAGAAGATTATGTTGATAATGGCATTGCTTGAAGTTGTTAATTTCCCTTTAGCAGTCTGTGGAGGTATCGTTCGAGGAACAGCTAGACCATGGCTAGGAACATATGCAAATATATTTGGATTTTATCTCTTGGCATTGCCATTAGGTGTGGTTTTGGCTTTCAAGATTCATCTTGGTTTGGCTGGATTGTTGACAGGGTTTGTTGTTGGTGTAGCTTGTTGTTTGGCCTTGTTGTTGGTGTTTATTGCTAGGATTGATTGGGTTCAAGAAGCTAAGAAAGCACAACTACTTTCTTGTAACCTCGAAGAAATTGCTAATGATGATGAGAGGAATTAAAACTTCACAAGTTGTTACAGACTACGACTCGTGAGTCGGGACTATAGTCATGTTTCGCCTACAATCAGAGGCGGATCTAGAGCAGGTTCAGTTCATTAGTTCAAGTGAACACGTTTGCTTTCGACTCGAACTATGTATACACATGTAAAAAAATGTTTATTCTTACTCCTGAATTCACTTATGCCTACAACTATTGTTAGACAAAACAATGTGAAGGAGAATCAATTCAGAAGAAAATACCAGTTGTTAGTATATTTCTAGTATTGTATAATTTAATGATGAGTCATGTTTATTTTCCAAAAGATCCATTACATAATCTTGTGCAATCAAATAATTAAATATACAAATATTATTACAGGTTTAAAACACAAATGCACTTGGGGTTCAAAATCCCGAGTTGTTCCACCTACGCTCTGTCCAATCTGAGGTATAACAAAATTCTCTCTCCACAACTCAAGATCTTCGATCATGGATATCGATTACTTCTTTCTTTATGTTATGTCGATTGCGATGGAGGACACTTAACCAGAGTTCTTGGGGCAGACTACCTTCTAGGACAAGACAAAATTAGATTGAAGAAAGTCATACCATATAAATCGAACTAGAGCCTCAGTAGCCAAAAAGCAAAAAACTAAAGCAGTCGATAGGTAAATGCTTATTTTGAATTCATACTAGGATCCATAGTATGAGTTAGTTTATTTTGAATTCATAAGGATCCACCGTATGAATTAGCGGGGCGGTTCAATAAAATGGGTGGCATAAAGCCAAAATTTAGAAAAGAAAGTTACGTTTATTTAATTTTGTGTATATATATTTTATTCTCATAAATTCTAAAAAAGTATTTTAATTCATCATAATTTAATAATTAATTTTTCTTTTTCAATTAACAGTATAACATTCTGTAATATCTTGTAAGACAAGAATAAACATATATAAATTATTATACGTTGCATAACAACACAAATGTTTAAATCTCTTTTATTGATTATATTTTTGAAAACTTTTTCAATAAAATAAATTGTTACATAAACTATCAAAATTATTCTAAAAGTGTTTTTTTTAAAATTAAGACTTCACTTCATTGAATATGCCAATCAAAGTATCATATTTTTACTTATACAATATTTCATAATATTTTTAATTACAAAAACCAATATTATAGTAATTGTTACATTTAGAAGACATTCAAAGTTAAGACAATATTTTTTAAACTTTAATTATTTAATAATCTAATTAATTTTGAGTTTGAAATGTTTAATATAAAACATTTCAAAGAATTGAAGACAATCTTACAGAGTCAATATTAAAGCATGGTTGATTCAAATTGAAGTGAATTAGTCAAATTAAGAAATATAAAGTAACTATAAATTTAATTGTTTACAATTTTTAATTATAATTACATCTACCTATAACACTTTGTTTGAATGATTATTACGTATTGTTTTATAATGTATCGTATTGTATTATGTTGTATTCTATTGTTTAATTGAGTATAGTGTGTGGATAGATTGTATGTTCTTTGCCGTTACATAATGTCACACATCTATAATTTGAATGGTAAACCTATTAGGATACGGGGTAGAGCTACTATGAAAAGGTAGCATAAAGATAAAATATAATTATTAAATAATAAATAAAGAAAAAATGAAAAGAACTTGGCAAGGTGTTTCTTTTGGGCCTGCAATAGGACCAAAGAAGTCGGGTCGGGTCACCTGCAATAGGACCGAAGAGGTTGGGAAGGTATTTCTTTTGGGCTTCATTGAAGGCCCAATAATGAGGCCCGCTGGAAAAAATAGCATGTCCACAGGTTATGAACTTCTTTTCCCGGAGAAAAAGCAATAACGGTATCGGGGAATAAGCATCAGCTAATTCTGTGCCAGCAGTCGCGGTAATACAGATCCAGAATGATTGGGCGCAAAGCGTAGGTGGCTTTTTAAGTCCATCATCAATCCCAGGGCTCAACTATGAACAGACGGTGGAAACTATCAAGCTGGAGTTCGGTAGGGAAAAAGGAAATTTTCGGATAGCCCTTTTACCTTTACTCGGTACCGTTCTGGAATAACAAGCCAGGCCCTTCGTACTCATATCTATTTTTTGCTGGGCCTGAATAACAATTTAGGCCTTCTCTACTCTATCCTTTTTAAGGCTATTATTTAAATTTTTGTTCCTCTATCTAAAAAATGGAAAACTACCTTATCACACGTACATCCATATCATATATATTAATTCTATTATACTTTCAAATAATTATGTATTTTATCACTAATTGAGGAAGATACACCTAGATATGTGTATTTTTGTGGCTAAATACACAATAATAGGGAGAGAGCCGAGCAAGATGGGGAGGGAGGCGAGCAAGATAGTCACGTGAATCACACCAAATTCATGTATCTGGGATATTATATACATTGGAGAGTGATGAGCAAGATGAGTGGGAGTAGTGCGAAAATTGTCCATATATCCAAATACGTGTTAATCCACTTGGATACAATGTATTTATAATAAATTACACTTAACTTCGACCCCATTTATCCCAAGATACATGTATCTACTATCTACACGCACCAAGATTTGATAAGATTCATAATATTATAAATTAGAGTAATTAGCTCTTAAACTAGTAGGATTTCTGTAATTTTCCCTCTAAAAATTGTACAAACACAACCTTACGACTAACAAAAATACTAGACTATCGTCATTTATAAAACGTTAAATCATAGTATAACGTTTTCTCATAAAATTTTCAATTTGCTCAAACAAGATTGTTAAACCAATGATCTAATAACAAAACATTCCTGAACTTGGGTACCTAAAATACAGGCTTTACTAACTTTTATGCCATAAGATGATGTCATTTCAACTACCAAAACAACTAGACAATATATGCCTAACTTTATTTTCTTTTCACTGATACTTTAATTTGGACACTGAAAAAGGTTCTCCATATCAAAATACTTTTTTTTTATCAGCACAGGTTTTAAGGTTCCTGTTTTGTATCCATTTTGTCGTGCGCATTTGTTATTGAATTTCTAAAAGTGATCGAATCAATTTGTGTGTACCTTAATTATTTTATTAAATATTTGCTATTGTTGAGTCCCACGTCTATTGATTTAAGTATGTGTGATCCTTTTCAATCCTTTTACGAGCCAATCTTCCTAAACATAGGTATCTAAAAAATTATTGAATCTTGTTGACATAAGTGAAGCTCTAGGATAGTAACAACGTCTCAGAAATTATTTTAAATTCCAATTATGATATTCCTACTTTTTTTTTCTTTATCTTTTAAATAGTGTAATTTTTTGCTCATGTCTTTGGCTCTATCTTAGCTTAAACTAACATACTGACATGACCTATATTTAGCAATCACTCATGCATATATATTATTCTAGCCTTTTTTTCTATAATCATCAATTCATCATCATATATATATATAGACCAAATCATTATAAATAGTTAAATTTTCCAAGCCTAGTAAGGTGTATAGTAAAGCTAAACGAAGGAACATGTGACTATTTGAACTTTTTAAACAAAAATTGCGGTGGGGTTTAAAGTGTTTATTAACTAATCTTGTTGTCTTTTCAAAATTATGATGATGACCAAAAGTTCCCTGCTTTGTACGTAACTTCTTCAATATTAAAACACTTTCTGCTGGAATAATATTAATGTTACATTTATAAACTATATTCGTTCACTTTTAACTGTCATAGTTTTCTTTTTTATAGTCAAACAATAATAATTTTGACTAACGTTTTACGATGTATTTTTCATCATATTGGTATGCAAAGAGTTGGAATTTATAGTACTTTTAGTATAGTTTTTGAATATCTAAATTTTTTGTTTATAATATCAAATTAATGTAATTTAATTTTGAAAATTAGTCAAATTGACTTTAGAAAAACGCAACATAACAATTAAAAGTGGATAAAGGAAGTATAGTCAAAGATAATTATTAGTACTATACTTTTTCATCCTAATGACTTCTTTCTTGTGTGTTGAAGTGACGTTAATTTGAATATTGTCTGAATTAATGTTTCCATGTTACCTTAACTTTTCTGTTTCATTTCCATGCTATTATTGAAATTTGCTTTCAGCTATTGAGATTATTGCACCTTTTTCGATCTTTGGTTTGCAGATTATGTTTTTAAGTTGTCTATTTAAAGTCCTTATATGCTTCATAAATTACTGAGATACATTTTTAATCATTTTTCGTTGCATCATCCCTTACAAAAACAAGACAACAACTATGTAGTCAGATTATTTTTAGAATTTAAAGTTTATGAGTTCTCAGAGATCTAAGGTTGTTTTGTTACTCGATCCCCAATACATATTTTTTGTATATTTAATATATTTTTTAATATAAATATCAAATATGTGCGAAAGTTACTAAGTTCTGAAGAGCCCACTCAAAGCTCTAGATCCACGCGCCCTTGTATTTAGGTGGATGTGATCACTTTTAAGTGTCCTGCACTCTTGTCCGAGTTATAGGCAGAGTCAAAATTTAAAATTTTATAAAAAAAATTTGAATTTTTAATATCAATTTCATGTCTTGTTTTAATCACTAGGTTAGTTATTAAATATTTTACAAATTTAACGTCAGATTATCGAACACAAATACAAAAATTTAACTAAAAATTATTAAATTCATCCGAACTCGCCATTCATGTTCAGTTTCTTCACATGCACTAGCTCGTTCATTAATGGTAAATGAAGCCGTTGAGATGGAGTAAATGATCTTCCTATATACATATATATTTATAATTTGAAAAAAGAAAACGATCGTTCGTACAAAAATATAATCTCTTATATTTTATTTTATTTATATATCTCTTTGTGCTATTTATTATCGATATTCTTAGATGGAATGAAAATGAAATATGAATAGGAGTATGTGGTCCTTCCCATGCTGTGAAAGTGTTAAATATTCTTACTTTCATGTTTTAAAAATATTGTCTTTTCTTTTGAGTTGTCTCAATTGTTATGTTATTTACTTTCTTAAAAATATAGTTTGTCTTCGAGATGGTTCGGTTGGTTTGGATGGTGGTCATTCATACGAATGATTCGGAGTTG